TCGCGATGGGTAGCTGCAGTACAGATTCCCGCGGATCTTGACACCGGGAAATGTCGGTAACATCGCTACCTCCGGGAATGAAGAAGGGACACAGTCAACAACGCAAAGGGTAACCTGAGCCAAAAACAACAAGACCCTCTTCCGTGGAAGAGTTTGTTTTGATTCGAAATATTGTGCAATTATGGAACAGATGTGTGCCTTGCTCAGGCTGCAGGCTAACGGAAGTTGGACTTGGAAATTCCCAGGCCCCTAGCAATTTCTTTAAAAGGATTCACGTGCGTAGTCACGATTAAAATCTGTCAGGAAAAGCCCATCCTTTATTAATAAAGACTATTTGTTAGTTCCGTTTTCTGACACTCTCTGCGAAGCCAAACATTCTTTAAATTTCCAAGAAGAGAAGGCAGGAAGTATATCGTATGGGTTCACTGGCCAGCATCCACTTTCTGGGGTGGGGAAAACCCAAGTTTTAGCCTCCTCTAATAATTAGCTTTCCTGTGAAAAACACATAATGCAAGTTCTGAGCATTTTTTTACTCGGCAGATTGTCCCCATTCTCGACTATGGAATATTTGAAATTCCCAATGATCTAATCTTGGTACTGGTGTTCACTGAATGATGTTATAATGTGTAGGGGTTTTCAGCATCAAGAACTAAGGTGTTAGAAATAAAACAGATACATAGTAAAGTTTTACTTTTAGAAATTTTTACATTTACCCCGAGTGATTATGTTTATCATAATCACAAATGAATGACCTTTGGCATTTGTTACCAGACAGGGTAACAAATGCCAAACGTCATTTGCTTTAGATTTTAAGAAATGACAATTGAAAAAAATAAAGTAAATACCAACTCTCAAAAATCCATTTCTGTGCTTATATTTTTAATTTATGCATCTAAAAAGCAGACTGCTTTCTCTACATTCCTCTGCATTCTTTCTGGGTCACCATAAATGTATTTATCTTTGGGTGAACATAGATAAGTACAGCCTGACCAGTCCATATAGAACATTGGGTATTTGTTCCATAGCACATCTATGCAGGACTACAGCTCACTAGCCACTGTGGGTGATGGTGCATGAGGCAAGCTTTACTTTGGTGCAGGAGATGAAGGTCTTATGTGCTGCAGAAATGTCCAGTTTGATACATTGGCTTGCCCTGGGGCCAAAGACCCTGTAGAACTGACTTCATTTAAAGTCTGATCTTCAAGACAGCAGAGCCTAGAACTGTCAAAAGACTTTGGGTTAGCTCTGTGTTTATTGCATTCAAAGCCCAATTCTTTGCTTCAGGAGCCAAATGAGCCAAAGGATAGCAATTACAGGACAGATGATCGACTCCCCCAAATATGGAGAGCAAAAGATGCTAGGGAATTTAGTGGTTGCATTGGTGAAGAACTTGTTTCACGTTGAGTTGTGTTTTGCCCTCAAAGATTGTATTCTTCTCTATCCATTTTTCACCCTGAGACCAATCTCAAGAAACCATCTCCTGTAGACAGAGAAAGGAATTCACCTTGAGCTAAATGACAGCAGATCCCTGTTGGCTCATGGGGTAAAATCTGTTGGGATAGAAGCCTTTTCCCGAAGCACTGATGCCCATGAGAGCTGATTAGAGTCACAGTAGCATCTCACATGGGGTCTTGCAAATCCAACTTCAAAAAAATTTCAGCAGCCAACAGTGTGCTAACAGAATTTTCTATGGCACCACCCATGAAATGAGCAAAGAAGGTTGACTGCTCCCATTCTCACCCTCCTCCCAGGTGCCCCAACATCATAGATAAAATCCAGGAGAAAGGCACAGGAGAAGGGCATTCTCAAGCTTCTTCTGGGAAGATGTCTGGAAGCTCTTAGCCCACCTATGGGTACAGCTGACCAGATCAGTGGTGGAAACCTAACCAAAACAACACTCTTGATGTTATGGAAAAGGAAACAGAAAAACATAGGACACAATTGGCAACAGCAAGACAGGTAGTGTTAGAATTCTCTGAAAGAGCCCTCAAGATGGGAGCACCTGAAATCTGGTTCTAGGGCTGACAATAGCACAACCACCCTAAAAGAGCTTTTATGTCCCAGGTGACTGAGAAGATCATCTTGGCTGCGCTGTCTTTTCATAAATAAGTTGACAAGTGGGCACCTGGGTGTGTCTCTCTGTTCTTTAAAGAAGCTACATAGACAGCTGCTCTGCCCCCTACAGGGGTGATTGTGGCACAACTGAATTAGCAAATGGCAAAAGGCCCTTTCTCTTTGTTCATCACCCTTGTTACCCTCTTCCCTTTAGAACTGATCCCAACCCTCTATCATTTGCTGTTGTGGAAGGACGTTTGGCAGACTTCATTATCCAAAGGTGGCCACCACAACATTCCTCTTCCCACATGTTCTCCTTCAATGTGTCCTTGTCCTTCCTCCATGAATGTGACTGGGCTTGTAACTGCTTTAACCAAGGACAGCAGAAGTGATGATGCTGTGTGACTTCCCAGACTGGGTAACAAATGGCAAAAGAGTCACCTCTTATTATGTGGCTGGGTGGAGAGGGAGGGTAGAGAGAATGGTTTCGAGAGGGGTGACCATTGATCTTGATCATGGCTAGGGTATCATATGTCCTCCATTCTTAGACGTTGCATACTTAAAGGAGAAGTATTAATTCAAGGAAGGCTTTTAGAGAACAAGAGAATCAGTGCTATAATGTTAAATGTGTCATCTATTATACCATGCATTAAAAGAAACATTAAAGTGTGAAACAAATGCTTAAAATGCAAGGAAATCTGTTATGTCCTTTGGTGAGCATGCTTGGACACCTTTCAGTACATTTTAAAAGCATAAAGGAGGGAGGGCTTCTGAACCCTTCATTTCCCTTGTGTGGGCTGGCTGGGCTGCATTGTCCTCTAGGTACAGTCCCTAAGGCACATAAGACTTTCAAGGTCCCATGAAAATGTTCTCATTTCTTCCAAAACCAAAAGAAGAAGTTGAACTTTTAGGTTGAATAAAATGTTTGCATATATAACAGGAATATATGCATCTTTAAAACAAAACTTTCATATGATATAATTTTATTAGTTAAAATCCTTAATTCATAACTACTTAAGAGTTAATATTTAATGTGTTCTATGGAAAAAAGTTAGCATGCAGTTGTATTGTCTCCAATCGCTTGTTAAAGAAACTTGGTCATATACAAGCTTCCTTTTTGCTCTCTCAATATCCAGAGCACAAGGAAGCTCTGGAAATGAATTCCAGAAAAGATTTTACTTTTCAGTACTTCCACATTTGGAGTCTAGATGGCCCTGTTGCTCTAAAGTTAGGTGTGTAATGTGCCGTGATTTACAATGACTGTTGGGATGCTCGCTGTGGAGCAGGCAGAGGTGACTTTTTGGTAGAGATAGCATTCTGTATGCACAGCTGGAGGGAGGCCTGGGATTTTTCATGGCTGTCATTCTTTTAAACCCTCAGTCCCCGAGGATAATCCATGGAAAGTAAAACCTGGCCATTTTAAACTCGACTTGAATTATTGAGCATGCAGGCATGAAAAATTTAGATGTCTAGGAAAATAAATAGGGTACATAAAAAAGATTTTATTGAATTCCTCCAAATCAAGCAAGAATAGTAAATGGCTGCTTTTTAAAAAGCATCCCAGGAAGTTCCTGCAATTTGTTAAAAGATTTTTTAGACTCCCTTGAAAATCATGGACTCAAATACATAGGGATAAGCTAGCAGAAAAAATAAAATTCCCTGAAATAATTTTATACTTAGGGAGATAGCTTATAAAATTTTTTGTGTGAAACAGTAAATTTTCCACTTTCCAAATTATTTGTTTATGTTTTTAAAACTAAATGGTTGTTTATGAAACAGCAGAAGCAACTCAGATCTTCCAATTGTATTTGCTACATTTCTTGGGGGAAAGAACATACATGGAAATGTGTTTGAATAAAAACTGATGAATCAAGGCATGTTGAAAGAGCTTTAAAACCCACTCAAACATGCCATTTTGGGGCTAGAAGGGTCTTCTTTTTTTCTGTTTTAAATTTGTGTCTTATGTCCACAGAGTCTTCTTAACCTTTTTCCTCCCTCCCTCTTTATCACTTTGAAAAGTGATTTAGTACCATCATATTAAATTAATATTCCATATAAATAATAGATATCCTTTCCATAATGTGACATGCCAGCGAGGCTTGTAAATTCTTGTGTGCAAAGTAACAAAGAAGGCAGCTACAGAGATGCCAGAGAAGCAAAGAGACTTCTACGGTTGATTTCCTTGGGATGGAGTGTGCCTAAGTGTTGTATAACTCTAAGGAAAAACAAGCTCAACTAAACTTCATCAAAACATGTTCCAGTGAGGGATTTAAATGCTCTCCCAAAATGATGAGTATATGTTTCTATGTATGAATAGAAAATAGACTTTGTGTTTTGATTGACTTGATTACTCAGCACTGCACATGGCATGTTAAGTTAAAAATTCTTATTAAAAGTATTAAAGCTATAAACAGCTACCCCCTTGTCATTAATGAAAATGAGGAGAAAAGAGGTAAATAGTAGCTGTTTACCACAGGTGCACTGTTGGAAACAGGTTGCTAATTTACTTTGGAATCCTCAACTAATGAATGTGAATAAATAGCACCCAATATGTCAACACTATTTTAAAGTTTTTCACCTCTATGGGCTCAATCCTCACAGCAACACCACAAAGTTAGCTATATTATTATCTCTTTTTACAAATAAGGCAACTGACGCACTGAGATGGTAAATAACTTGCCCAAGGTCATAGATGAGCAGGTGCAGATCCAGTTTGAACACAGTTTTATCTCAGTTGTGATATTCCCATTACAGCTTTCTAATATATATTTACTTGGACACAATACTTTTATTTTATCTATTTATTTTTATGTGATGCTGAAGATCAAACCCAGTGCCTTGTATGTGCTAAGTGAGCACTCTACCACTGAGCCACAACCTCAGCCTCCATTACAGTTTTCTATCTCCCAAATCCAGCTCCAGAACATTGAAGATTCTGTACATACCTTAGAACTCCCCATTCTTGTAGGAAGTCTCATAGTGCTTCACTGCCTAAAAACTCTCTGTTTCCAGATACTTGACACATAAACTCGTGGAAAGTACTGGAGAACTGATATCCACTCTTGCCCAGCAGCTCTCAATCAACAACCTCCTTGAGAGGGTAGATGGAAACCAACTGGAGATGGGGCCATTGCTGTCCTCAGAGGCACCCAGTGGGTCAGCCCACAGTGGAAAATTGGTCCTGAATATGCCATGTGCAGGCTTCCTTCCTTTCCCTGTCTTGCTTAATCAATTCCATAACAGTACTTCCTGGTTTCTCCTCCCAAGAAAGGACTTGAACCTAAATCCTGTCTCCAGAGCTGTGGCCAGGGGACCCAGCCTCAGATACGGAATATGGACTTCACAGCTAGACAAATCATGAGTGCTGCTAAGTGAAATAAGCCAGCCCCCAAAAATCAAAGATTGAATGTTTTCTCTGATAAGAGGAAGCTAATCCAAAATAAGGGAGGGGGGTAAAAAAATAAAATAGAAGGTCAGTGAAGTAGATGAAAGAGATTAAAGGTGAAAGAGAAGGGATGGGATAAGGAAAGAACAGTGGAATGAATCTGACCTAAATTTCCAGTGTACATATATAAATATACCATAGTGAATCCCACCATCATGTACATTCACAAGACGCTAAGTAAAACAAACAAACAAACACAAACAAACAAAAAACACAATAATGAGTGAATAGCAGGAAGATCCGTAGAGTTAGAGGGAAGGGAACAGGGAGTGGGAGGAAGGGAGGAGAAGGGGAAATACTGGGGATGAATTAGAACAAATTATATTCCATGTTTTTATAATTATGCCAGAATGAATCCTAATGTTATATACAATTAAAAAGAACCAATAAGAGGAAAAAAATTTAAAAAGAAAAATCATAAGTACTAAATTACATCATTGGCAAATATGAGAATTATCTTTAAACTGATCATATTTCTTTCTATTATGCTGTACTGCCCCCCCACACACACACACAAAATAAACCAATCTGTAAGAAATCTCAAGTCTCCCAAATGATTTGATACAATTTTGGATAACTGGAGGAGATAATTTATTTCTAAGTTACTGTACTTAAGGAATTTGGGAATTTATTAAACAAACACTTGTCCTTGTATATAGCTTTAAAAAAATGCATCAAACGTCACATGACTATATCAAGGACCTAAATTATTTTCCAATTTAAAAAGTAATAAATAGTTCAATTAATAGAACATTGAAAAATACCCAGTTTAAAGTAAAAAATGTCACATTTCATAATCATTATTCCCACAAATTTTATTATGGTATTTAATTATATTTTTACTTGGCCCTAAATATATTTTGGCATCTAGATCTCTTTTTATGTTTTTGCCATAATCCCATGTGAGTCATTTAATTGCACTCTTTTATGTCTTTCCTTATCCTGCCATTTATTTTCAACTAAAGACTTTATCAGTATAAATCACAATGTCCAAGATTTGGGTTAAACTGTGTGTCATCAGCACCTCTCAGAGCACAATGAAGTAGGGACTCCTGAGTGTGACTGTAAGAAAGAAGGGCTCCAGTCAGTGGTGGGTCTCTAAATGCCCATCTGGGACCCTGTTCTGGCCACTAGGCTGAGCCCATGGGAGCCAGCCATGTATCATGCTAAGCCACGCATCACAACCTCCTCTAACTCTGCTCATTCCTCCTTATATGAGTTCTAGTAGATTCACAGCTTTCTGGGTGCTTTCTAGAAATAAGAGTTCTCCTGAAACTGTTAAATAATTAAAATTCCATCCAGAGTAATATCAAAACTATAAACTTCTTTTAAACTTCTTCCTTCCTCCAATATTGCCCTACTTCAGGCAAAGAGACCTGAGTAACTTCTTTCTGCTCAAACTTCAGGTCCTGGGGAAGGGTGGAGGGACCTTTAAAACCTGAGTTATCTTCCCTGCCCAGGACAGCAGAATATGGCAGCAGGACCCTCTATGTGCTGGTTGCACAGTCGTTGGACCGTTTAACATGGGACTTTTTGGTTTCCTTGGAGATTTTCCAATGGGACCCCTATAGTGGCAGCTCCCCTGAGGCAGGTGATCTAGCATCTGTCAGGTCACGTTGGCTGCCTTCTCAATTGTTGTGCTTGACTTAGATCACCCCCTTGACTGACATGGTGCTTTGGTGAGCACCTTTAAGATGGTGAATTGAGACCCTTTTATGGCATTACAGCTAGACCCTGGAGAAACACACACACACACACACACGGTCTTCATTGGCTGCAGGCAGACAGTGTCAGCCTGCATTTCATCGCTGGACTTCCCATGGTCCCACACAGAAATTTAGGTGGAAAGGGGGTGAAAACCTGAGATGGGGAGTATGATCCACAGGAACAAGAGAGAAGGAACTGCACTAGATGAATCTAAACACCCCAAGCTATTTCAGAGCAGAGAAAATACAAAGCAGCAGTATCAAGAGATGACATTAATAACAACAAATAGCAGCAACAAAAATGCCAGCCAGACTTTCTTATGAATACAGATATGGAAAATCCCTAATACTGTATGAGCAAATAAAATTCAGGAGGAAGTTTAATAATTGATACACTACAACCAAGTAAAATAGTCCCCAGGAATATAAAGGTGGTTTGTAGTATGACATGCATACACACACACACACATGTTGTCCATTGTTGGAAGGAAAAACAATGTGTTCTTATTTTGAAGATCAATGATAAGATGATAAGAAAGTCCAACCCTAATTCTTTATTTAAAAATATCTTTTGCCAGGCACAGTTTTTGTGCAGACCTGTAATCCCAGTGGCTTGGGAGGCTGAGGCAGGAGGATCCTGAGTTCAAAGCCAATCTCAGCAATTTATTGAGGCTCTAAGCAACTCAGTGGGACCCTGTTTCTGAATAAAATACAAAAAGGGCTGGGGATGTGGCTCAGTGGTTAAGGAGTGCCCCGAGTTCAATCCTGGTAAACACACACACACACACACACACACACACACACATATATATATATATATCAAACCAGAAATAGAAGGGTGCTTCCTTAACATAAAAAAGGATATTTATTTTAACAGCAAAATAAGCACTAGCATCATTCTCATTACCAACAGGAATCAGATAAAAATATTCTTTGTCCCCCCTGTGACTCAATACTGCCTTTTTTTTCTTTTTTAAATTTTAAAAAATTTGTTCTAAGTAGTTATACATGACAGTAGAATGCATTTTGACACATTGTACATAAATAGAACACAACTTCTCATTCCTCTGGCTGTACATGGTGCAGTCACACCAGCAATGTAATCATACGTGTATACAGGGTAATAACGTCAGTCTCATTCCACCACCTTCCCATCCCCATACCCCCTCCCCTCCCCTCACTTCCCTATGCACAATGCAAAGTTTCTTCATTCTTCTCCCCCTGCCCCATTTTGGATCAGCATCTGCTTATCAGAGAAAATATTTGGTCTTTGGTTTCAACATTGTCTTTAAAATTCTAAGCCATCCATTAATATTTGGAAAATAAAAGAGATACATTAAGGGAAATGAGGAGACAATGTAATAACAACATACAAATAAGAGCATGTAACACTCCAAAGCACCCACTGAAAATTACCAAGATACAGACAACTATAAATTGAAATATTTATTTCAAATCAGTGAGAATATATTTTGAAGAGAAAAACAACACAATAGTCCTATTCACAATGTAATAGGACACACAAAAACTTGGGGAATAAGCCCATGTACATGACCCTTATGAAGAAAATCACAAAACCTAAAGGTAGAGAGATATGATGTTCAATCCTTGGTACCACACCCCCCAAAAAATACAGTCCTGGCATAAATAAATAAAGACATACATATATACATCAGTGTAACAGCATTGGGAGTTTGGAAATAAATTATACATATATGATCAATAAATATTAAAGAACTGTCTTTTCAATGCATGCTGTTAGAACAACTGACTATCCATTCTTTTGCAAAAAAAAAAAAAATGATTTGAACTCAGCCACAGACAGAAATTATCTTAAAGTAGATCAAAGATCAATCCAAAAGTTAGAGATAAACCTATAAAGTTCTTATAAGGAAACTGCTGTAGCATAGCTCATGATCTATGGTTCAGTCACAATTTCTTTGATATGCTATCAAAAGCACAAGCAGCAAGATAAACAAATTGATAAGTTGAATTTTATCAAAATTAAACACTTCAATGCATCAAGAAAGTGAGAAGACAACTTATAGAATGAGAGAAAATACAAAGCATATATCAGATAAGGAACTACTATTCAGAATACATAAAGAACTCTCACAACTCAATAATAAGACTAATAATCCAATCAGAAAATGAACAAAGAGTTTCAACAGATATTTTTCCAAAGAAGTTATACAAATGGCCATACACATGAAAGGATGCTCATTAAGAATTAAAAGAAGGCAAGTAAAAAACTTCAATGAGACACTACATACTACATCCTACCCACTAGAATAGCTATCATCATCAACCAGAAAATGATACCACATTGGTGAGCATATGAAATTTGAGATTTCACTTATTACTGGTGGGGATATAAAATGATGTAGTGCTTTGAAAAAAAAATTTGCATATTCTTCAAATATGCAAATGAATGATTCACTGCACAACCCAACAATTTTTTTCCCGAGGTATATATTGGAAAGTATTGAAAATGTATGCTTACACAGAAATTTATACATACATGTTCATAGTAGCATTATTCATAATAGCCAAAACCCCAAACATCCCCAAATAGCCATCAACTGATGAATAAATGAGCAAAATGTGATAAATCCATATAATGGACTATTCCAACAATAAAAAGAATGAAGTATTGACACATGCTACAACATGGATAATACTTTATAACATTATGCTCATGGAAAGTAGTCAGTCACAAAAGGTCCATTCATATGAAATTTTTAAAATAGGCAAATCCATAGAGAAAGAACATAGCTACCAAGGAGTCAGGAGGAGGATGAATTAGGAGCTTCAGAGTTTTCTTCTGAGAGTAATGGGAATATTCAGGAATTAGCTGTTGGTGATAGTATGCATCATTATAAACAATTTTTTTTTTTGGTACAAGAGATTGAACCCAGGGTCTCTCAACCACTGAGCCATATCCTCAGCCCTTATGTGTACTTTTTATTTTGAGACAGGTTCTTGCTAAGTTGCTT